ACCGGATTTTTCATTCACCTGGTACTTATCCGTATCATTACATAGCAGTCTTCTTAGATTTGGTTGCGGTGTAATTGGTAGAATATAACCATTACTTCTAAAAAGATGTGCAATTTTTAAGGAGATAGGGCGTAAGTAGGGTATTGGGGGGTGCGCTATTTTTAAGTTTTCTTTATTGGAAAGAAAAGATTGTGGAAATAAACAGTTTTTTACACGATTTTTTAGAAAAATGAATTTTGAATGTGAGTAACCTGCTCTTAACATTGTAGATTGAATAATGGATAATTCATTTTCTACTAGCACCTGAGTAGAAGGGAGAAGGTAAACCCTCCGTATTAGTGAAGATATAGCAGAGTTTTTGTAATGTGGTGGTTGGTAGGCGGCGGCTGGAATGATTTGTGGAGCATTCTTATTACAATGATGGACAGAAAATATAAGCACCAGAGATGTATGTATATCTAAGTCCAGGAAAGATATTCTATTATTTTCTTGCTCTTCAACAGTAAAATTAATTGTAGGATAAATAGAGGCTAATATTTGAGTAAATTGAAGCAAGTCCTCATTGGAACTATCCCACGCAATTAGCACATCGTTGACGTACCGTAGATACATGAGAGGATATTGGATTGTTAAAGAGGCATTGAAAATCCGATGTTCTATATTTCTCATGACCAGTTCAGCTAGAATAAGAGATAATGGTGAGCCCATTGGTACCCCTTGTGTTTATTTATATATTTTTCCATTAAATTGGAAATAATTATTTTGAGTAATAAGGCGAAGAGCTTCACGTAGGTGTAAAACGTGTGATGCTGGGTAACTAAAATTGAGAAATAGGGTATTTGCCAGCATGATGGCCTCGAAATATGGAACAGAAGGATATAAAGAAATAACATCGATTTTGTAAAACTTTTGGTAGGAACTAGAGGGGAGGTTTCCTAATTTTTGTAAGATGGTACATTTGGCTTCAGTGGAGGATGTAGTTACAAGCTCAGAATGTTGGATTAAGGATGTGATATGTTTTGCCAGTGCAGCTTCAAGATGATACGTGGGATGGGAATGTTTGTTGACCAATGGTCTTAGTGGCCATGACAATTTAAGGGTTTTGGCCTCAAAAAATAATCTGGGGCATGCGACGTTCGATGGAGGATTGAGAAGACCAGCTAAAGATTCTACAACTCCTGGTAATGCAATAACTTTGTGCACTTTTCTTAACACAGTGGAAGTAGGATCTTGTTTTAGTACTATTGATCTGGAATGTTCGAGGAACTCGTTAGCTCTATTGAGGAAATCTTTGTTTCTGCATAGAACAAAACATTTATCTTTGTCGGCTACTAACAATTTTAAGTTATTCGATTCAAGAAAAGATTTTACTATTTTTGGAGTCCTCATATTTGCCCTTATGGTTTTAGGTGAATGCATCGGTGCTATAGCAGTCAACGTAGAAAGAATCGTTTGGAAAGCTTATATAAAATATACTTTATTTAAGCAAACACAACATTTAATTATTAAATAGTAGCCATATTATAGCATGATATAATCCAGCAGCTTGTTTGACCTTAATCAAAAATTGGGTTAACAGATATTCATATTTGTGTAGATTAGATATATCAATCTAGCAATTTTGAGTCTTTGTTCATCTTAAAAATGAATAAATAGAAAAATACATTTGTCCTTAGAATTCAACAATATAACACAACATAATCCAGAAGAAACTTTATTTAAAAAACTTATTCCTTTCCATAATTGCACTAGCATTAATAATCGACACATAACCATTAACTATGTGATTAACGTTTTTTCAGGAGATGAATGCATTTTATCTCCTAAAACATAAAAAGAACAAAGTTGCCAGTTATTCTAAATCAGTTTATAACATTTCATTTTTAGAATAACTGGCGGCTTTGTTCTTTTTAAGTTATAAATGCATATATCTCCTGAAGTAGGTCCCTCAAGACTTAAAACATTAATTATAAAATATTTACTACATAGTTGTGGTTATATACTTGTTGTCAAAGCTATTATGGACACACAGCAATATATTATAATAAACTTCATAAATATGTTTTAGTGTATAATTTCAAGTTAATCTGTGATTATTTTACAACCTCAAGTTTTTATTACGAAGTAAGTAAGAAAATAACACACCACAGGTACTCCTGTGGTGTGTTATTTTCCAAACATCTTGTGAGTGCATGTGTGCACATACAGTGCATCCCAGAAATGCAGATATTTAAAAAAAATAAAAACATAGATTAGCAATGCAAGTGGTTATTATTATTTATTTATAGCATAATACAATGTTATATAATTGTTTTTACAGTATTTGATAGTTACATAAAGTGTTAAACACAAAATAGTTGTTTTGTGATGTCCAAAAATATAGANTTCAAAGAGCTGCATGTGGCTCGCGAGCCGCAGGTTGGCCACCCCTGGTCTATGACAACAATCGTTTGGCATTGACCACGAATTTCGCGCCAATAAGCTGCCTCGACTTGTTCAATTATGTTATGAACTCAATTTCATATTTTCAAATATACGAGTGCTAAGATGGCTTTTCTTTTCCACTAGACTTGTTACACCATCAATGAAACGAAGGACAAACTTTAGAAAGACTTTTTATTTATTCGAGTATGCATTTTGGATAATTATATCCCTTTTCAACTCTTCTGTTACAACTATACAGGGAAAATTAACATAATGTATACAAGTTAGCAAAATTTTTCTATAATGTTACAAAATTAAAAGAACATTAGGAAACTTACATGGATTGTGAGAAATGCAGGAGTTGTGACATTAGATAAAATATGGATGGTGATTATTGATTAACAGGTATAAGCTACAATGATGATTAAATTGGAAATGATTTACAAAAGGGAACGATTAACAAAATGTAAAAAATTTTTTGAACTTACAGTGAACATGATGGCCTGGTAGCAGTATACATGACACAATGTTGAGTTAATATTATGAAATTTGGGAACCTTGATCTTGGTTACAGTAAGGGTAATAGAAATCTTTTTGGGACAGTCTGTATGATGAAGTGAGGTTAGCGCACTATTAAAATAAAGGGAACAGAAAGAGATTGTTTTAGTGTACAGTAGAGTTTCACAGGGTGGGATGGTCCACAGATTGTAAGTGGGGAGGATGCTTTAGGACGGTATTAACTTGAAAAGCCATCTTAGCGCTCGTATATTTGAACATAAGACTAGACAAGAAGTGTATCACATAATCAATTTCATATTTATTTTCACTTTGCAGTCCTTTTCTGTTCTTTTTCCGTTATTTACACGTGTAGGTCATTTCATTGTTATTCACATTTAATATCATCATTTATCACATACTGCCATGACACTATTGTCTGTCCGCTACAACTGTCAAGAGTTAATGCGATTGGCGAAGCATAGTGACAGCAGGCCAATAGAGAGCAGGGTCCTTGCCATAATGCGGTTTGCATGCCAATTTTCGTACGTGCGTTAATCAAGCCGAATAGTTTGGCTGAATATTCGGCTATTCACCCATGCTCCTGGCCAAATATACTATTCGTTGCAACCCTAATATAAACACAATATATAATATCAATCAATCCATATCAATCAGATGTAATAGGCTTATGTAATCTGATTGATACAGATGAAAATGTTTGTTATATTATATATTTTTGTGTTTATGTAATTGGTTTGATGTACAGTTGTGTTTTTAACATCATTTGGTTTTCCTTTAGATGGCAGACTATCAAACTTTCACACACTAGAAATTAATTAAATAAAAAATTATATAAAATGATTAATGACACAAAATTAAATAACATAAATTTAACTTATAATAATTTGTTCAAATGATTTGGTGTTTTATCTTAAATTGTGTTACACTTCATTTGAATCATTAAATTATGTAAGTAAATACAGAAAGATGCATAAGTTTAAAACATTCTTGTATATCTTGGCTGGTATTTCCGTATATGCTAAAGTTTAGAAGATAGAAAAATAATAAAGGTGGCATAAGTGTTTCTTATGATTAACTTTTAGATTTGAAGAAATAAAAAAGATTACAAAGTTCACTCTAATTTCAGCACTGGAGTAAAATCCTGACTTCCCTAAACCTGTTACTGGTGTGCAATGCGTATAAGACATATTCAGCGGGAGACAAATGTTGTCGAACTATCCCACAGTTCTTCCTCAGGTCAACTAGCTTAGGAATGCTTCCGAACGGAGCGCGTGTAATTCAATGGGATTGAATGTCATTTCAACGAAGTCAGTCTCACTTGACATGCATGATCATGAGCTGGTGGAGGTAGCCATGGGTTGGCATCTAATAGGAACTGCCAGGCCAGCGACAGATTTAGCTCCTCCTTCTGGTTGATGCATGAGGCTACTTGGTTGGCTTTATAAATGGCTATAGATTCTAGTCATTTAAGGTGGTCCTGATGGGGTGTGCTGACAATGACTGTAGCTCTATCAAACCTCACTTTGACATCTGGATCAGATGCATACGTTGCAAGTGCAGTAATGAACCGCCCATGCTAGATATTCGCTTTGTGTTCCCTTATACAGCTATTTAAATAATGTTTGGTATGTTTGGAAGCATTCCTAAGCTAGTTGACCTGAGAAAGAACGAGATAGTTCAAAAATGTTTATCACCTGCTGTATATATCTTATACGCGTTGCACGCCAATAACAGGTTTAGGGAAGTCAGGATAAAAAAAATTACTTACTCTAAAAGTATTCAAATATTTGATTTATCAAAAACTAGTTTTTAAAACATTTGAAATGTGAAATATATTAAGTACTTAAAATTGAATTTAAAGTTTGCTTTTTTTTAAAAATTATAAGTATGCATTAAACCAAGTTATATATAAACTATGATCTATCAGTATCATGTGCCATCCAGCTTTACAATTCATATATAGTCTAACATGTAGATAAATTAAAAAACAGATTTAAAATACAGTAGTTAAATTAAATGTTAATGCAATTTACTTAAAATTATGATTTATATTGCAGTTGTGAAGTTGAAACATGGCCTAAAGCTAGTGCCATACCCCGTGATGCATTGCTTGAGAAGATAGCAGGAAAAGATGCTTTGTATTGCCAAATGGCAGATAAAGTTGATAAAGAATTATTGAATGCTGCAGGTTTGTATTTCTAATAGGATTTAAATTATAATTTCTTATTTAAAAGCCAGTTTTTGATTTATTGTAGGACCTCAGTTAAAAGTAATAGGAACAATGTCTGTTGGATTTGATCACATAGATTTACCTGAATGCAAAAAAAGGTTTGTTATTGTATTCATAGCATATAATTAATATTAAAAAAATGAATGAAATAAAACAATTACATTTATTAACACTACATAATTGAATAATTTAGTATTGTTAAAAAATAAAATATGCAACAAAATATGTAATATCAAAACTGTCTTTTGATATTAAATGTCTTAATTGAAGTAAAAATATAATTTACGAAATATACACATATATTTGTGACATTTTTGTTTACCCTTCCTTAAATAAGATATGCAAAAAAAATAGTATAAGTGTTGATTAATCACATTTAACTAATGTGACTAATTTACTAATATTTTTCACAATAAAATTTTTTATTGTAAGTTTAAAACCAGATAAATAAAACCTTAAATACTTCTAGAAGCTTGTATGATAAAAAGTATTTGTTTAGGATAAACTTTTTGAAATTCAATGTTACAGCATCAGATACATCTTAAAATATGAGGGTGGTTTTTTCAAGCGCCGATGGTCCATAAAGAAAAAAAAAAAAAAAAGACAAGTGTAAATGAAAATGAATTTATTAGCAAAAGTTAGGTACAAACATGGTTACTTTTCAACATAATCACTGTGAAGATTGAGGCATTTGTCATATCTGTGGACAAGCTTTTCCATCCCCTTGCCATAGAATGTTGACACCAGTGAATTGAGATGGCCTTAACAATATTGTTTTTTTTATGGAGCTTGAAAAAAAACAGCCTACATACAAACAAAAATAGAACATAAATTTATTTTCGTGAATTGAACAGATCATATCATCATAATCATAATGAAATTTTAATATTTTTATGTTAACAGACTTTTTCAACTAATATAACTAAAATATTATATCTTTAAGATAGTTTACTTCTTTTTATTAATAACCAGAAATTCTCTTGTCAAGCATGATGGAATATTTTTATGAGAAAGTAGAGATTGAAGAATTGAGAAGAGTAGAGATATAGCTTGTTAGATCATTACCCTAAGATTAATTCCTGGATTTGCCTTTGTGTTTAATATCATTTGCTAGAATATGAGCAGCTTTAACAGCTGGAATTTGTTTTCAATAATTGATCATATGTTGCAGCATTTCTACCTCAGAAGTGTTTCACAAAACCATGAGAAGTACAGTACATGAAGCATTCCAGAAAGCACAAAAAAAATCTGAACAGCTACCAGATATAATTTTAGATCAGAAATTCTTCAATTTAATAGAAGTTTATAGTTAACTGTTTCAAAATATTCCAGATCCAGGTCCATAATCGCTGCTATGATTAGTTTTTTTAATGAATATTATAATATTTTATACATTTCTGGAGTATTTGTTTAGAGATTTCATAATGTAATTTTTAAAAGAATTTGTATGTCAAAGGTAAACATATGTAAAGCATCAGCTGTACATATTCACTTATGTACAGCTGATGCTTTTTATATCTTAACATACAATTCATTACAGTGGTGACTCATATAACGTACTTAATCCGTTCCAGGTGCACGTCCGTTAAGTGAAAAGTCCGTTATACGAAACACATTTTCCCATAGAAATACATGTTAAAACATATAATTTGTTCCGCAGCATAAAATAACCATACTGTACCATTAAAAAAATGAAAATGGAGCAGTCACCAATTATGCCGGGTAGTCAGACGTTGTGAGGAGGAGGTGGAGGAATACTTTCTTCACACATTCATAAAGATACAGACTTATTACACATTGCAGCAGGTCTCTTTTTATTGTTTTTTTAATCTGAGTCAGATTCAGGAGAGGCTTCCGGAACTTGCAGGGTCAACTTCTCTTGTTCCATCCTTTGTTTTTTGCCTGCTGGCTTCTTGAAAAACATGTCCAAGGTGGTCTGTTTCTCTCTCTTGTTCAACACCTGTTGGAAATGACGGGCAAGGGTGTCATTGTAGAGATCATTGATCCTGTTGGCCTCAGCTGTGTTTGGATAATGAGTGTTGGTAAACTCCTGAACTCTCCCCATTTGACAAGGAAGTTTTTGTCAACTTTCACTTCTTCTGATGATTTCTTGCATTGTTTCAATTGAAATCACCTTTCTGTTTTTTTAGAAGCCATGATTTGCACAACACTTGAATAAATGTAAATACACTGCACTGAGGTGATATACTGTACGTAATAAACAAAGGAGCAAGCCGAATCCCAACAGGAGCTCTGTACTTCAGATATACTAATAATATTCTAATAACACTAATATATTATAAAAATAGCAGATTGTCATTGGCAACGGCAAAAGAGTGAAAATATTATTCGCACTTGTTCGCAGAAAGTCCATTGTTCGCCTCACGTAACTGCTGAACGGAAAGTCCGTTGTTCGCAGCCAGTCCGTTGCTCGAGTCACGTAACGGCCAAACAGAAAGTCCGTTGTTCACAGCGTCCATTATTCGAGGCGTACGTTATACGAGGCACCACTGTAAATATATAAGTGTATTAATAAAAAAATTATTTATTTTTACTGTTTATTTTATTTTTTATTTTGATAGAAACATTCTTGTTGGAAATACACCTGATGTTCTTACAGATGATGTTGCAGAGTTAACAATTTCTCTCCTGTTAGCAACTTCAAGAAGAATTTTTGAAGCATCAGAAGAACTAAGAAAGTAAGAATTATGAGTTTTCTACAAAAATTTGTGACTTAAATAAAAATAATTCCTAACTTATATTTCTTTGAAAATTAAATTTCTTAAGTTAAATTAATATAAATAAGCTCTTAACTATAAAGATTTTTATTTTAAATTATTTTTGTTAGAGAGGCCAAAAAATATATATTTTCTTTAATAATAAATATTTTGGAAATTCTAGTGATTTTTATCTTACAAATGTATTGAACAGTGTGGAAACAAAAAAATAAAAAATAAAAAAAACAACTGTAGAACCATTGAAATTAGAATTAATAATATTTTATACTTATTTACAATCTATACATGTAACAACGATAGAATTATATAATAATTTATTTAATAACATTTTAAAAGTTGAAATTTAAATGAGAAATAAAATCTAATGCCAAATTGCTGTGGAATAGATTTAATGATTTATGAAATTGGATCGCAAGAATTGATAAATAAATACAAAACAAAATATAAAATAAAAGTCCAGATGTCTAAATGGAGATTTGTACTAAAATTCAATGTTGCTCCAATGATGTGTTTGTTTTGAATAATTTTTGCTGGTTTTTTTAAAGATTATAAATCAAACAAAAATATACAACAGCTAAAATCTTTGTTTCAATCAACTTTTTTAAACTCCATTATATTAATATTCAAAAATTTTATTATTATTTAGTGATTCAAACAAATCTGTGGTGAAAAAGCAAATAATAAAATAAACTAAAACTTAAATTTTAAATGCAATTCATTAAGTTTTAGAAATTATTCAGATCAGATGGAAAATACAGATAATAAAATATGAAATAAAGTTAAAAATACTAATAAATATTTTTTGACATTTGTTTTTAAATATGATCAAAATATGTTCAATTAGTTCAGAAAGTTTGTATATACCTTAATATACATTTGTTTTGTTTAAATAATATTTTTAGATGCATTTACTAAATTATCGAAAACTATTAACAATGTTAATATAATAAATTAAATTTGTTTTTAATATTTTAGTGGAAAATGGATATCATGTGGATGGGCTCCTTTGTGGATGTGTGGAACTTCAATTAAAGGAAGTACAATAGGAATTGTAGGAATGGGTCGAATAGGTAAAAAAAATTAATCAGGAAAACCTTTCTTTATAAGCAGTTGTATAAATTCAGAATTGATTTATAAAATTGAGACATTAAATTTAAAATTCAATAACAGTACTTGCTCATTTTATTATAATTATTATTATATTATAGTTTTAACAATGTATAGGTAATGTTATATGCATGCTATATGAACTTTATAACTTATTATGAATAGTTTGAGTTAGGTTGTCAGACCCTGTTCCCCATCCATGTTAGCAAATCCTCTTGTGAGACTGTGACTTGTCTAAAATTAGTGAAAATTAAGACTTATTACATAGAACTTAATTTTGTTAGAATTGCATGTTAAACAACTATAAAAGCTTATATAAAATATACTTTATTTAAGCAAACACAACATTTAATTATTAAATAGTAGCCATATTATAGCCTGATATAATCCAGCAGATTGTTTGACCTTAATCAAAAATTGGGTTAACAGATGTTCATATTTGTGTAGATTAGATATATCAATCTAGCAATTTTGAGTCTTTGTTCATCTTAAAAATGAATAAATAGAAAAATACATTTGTACATTTGTCCTTAGAATTCAACAATATAACACAACATAATCCAGAAGAAACTTTATTTAAAAAAGTTATTCCTTTCCATAACTGCACTAGCATTAATAATGGACACATAACCATTAACTATGTGATTAACCTTTTTTAGGAGATGAATGCATTTTATCTCCTAAAACATAAAAAGAACAAAGTCGCCAGTTATTCTAAATCAGTTTATAACATTTCATTTTAAGAATAACTGGCGGCTTTGTTCTTTTTAAGTTATAAATGCATATATCTCCCAAAGTAGGTCCCTCAAGACTGAAAACATTAATTATTAAATATTTACTGTCTATGGTGCCACAGATGGGACACATGTTGTCGGTTCTGCCCTTGAATCTGGCGAGATATGAGAAGAAAGATCCATGCTTGCTCACCAATCATGGATCTTTCTTCTCATATCTCGCCAGATTCAAGGGCAGAACCGACAACATGTGTCCCATCTGTGGCACCATAGACAGTAGCAGACACTACATCCTGCATTGCCCAATGGTGGAACAGGAGCGTCTTCATCTAAAAATTACTGTTGAAGCCCATAATTACAACTGGCCTCCCTCTAACTTTGTTTGTCTGTTCAGGCACAAGGACACCTACAGTGCCTTCTGTAACCTTGTAAACATGTACTTTAAACGAACTACTGTGCCTACCTACACCTAGTGCTCTTCTGAGCCTAACCTCCTCTGTTTATATGCGTTATGTATTTTGCATTTAATTATTTTGTATACATTTTACTTATCTCAATTCTGAAACTTGTACTTATGGCATCTATTAGTTTGACTTAGTTACTCATCTCCAACAGTTTGTATTTATGGTATTTGTCCTCTTACCAATTTTCCTTGTAATCTGTATTCATTGTCACGACTCACCCGGTTGTGTGTAAACGGTACCGGGAATGTACCTTTGGTATATTATCAATAAAAATATCTGTATCTGTATCTGTATATCTGTATATAATTACCATTTGTTTAATGTATATATAATCCTATACTCACAATATATTCAAATTTTATTACTGTGATCATACAAACAATTATTAGTTTTCTGATTTATGTTTTCTCATATATAAATATTTTTGTAGCTCAATACAATCTGTAACACTATTGATTAGTTGTTTCCTCATTTTCTGGTGATGCTCACTGCGGTACTAGAACATGTATAAAATTATACCATAATAAACAATGATTGATTGATTGATTGCTGAGCTGTTCCGCGACGAAAACAAGCNGCGCACCAAGGCAAAATAAGCCTATGAGCAACAAAGGAGTATTTTTATCTTGGGTTGAGTTGTTTGAAAGCTGTTATCCAAATTTGTGGAAGCTCAAGAGTTGGGGAGTTGCATGGTATGGTAGTAGAAATGTAGAGTGTCTCCCAAATAAATAGATCTTTTTGTTTGTTGCAGCATTTTAGTAATTTTATTTCGTTCCATAGAGGCTGGTAGTTGTGGTTGAGTACTTTCTTTGCTAATTCTGTGACTGGCCTATTATTTTTGATGTCTTCTTGATGTTCGTGGATATGTGAACTTAATTTTCTAGCAGTAGCTCCTACATAATTAATCTCTTCACCAGTTAGTGTGTGCTTTAGCAAGATTTGGTAGACACCGGATTTTTCATTCACCTGGTACTTATCCGTATCATTACATAGCAGTCTTCTTAGATTTGGTTGCGGTGTAATTGGTAGAATATAACCATTACTTCTAAAAAGATGTGCAATTTTTAAGGAGATAGGGCGTAAGTAGGGTATTGGGGGGTGCGCTATTTTTAAGTTTTCTTTATTGGAAAGAAAAGATTGTGGAAATAAACTGTTTTTTACACGATTTTTTAGAAAAATGAATTTTGAATGTGAGTAACCTGCTCTTAACATTGTAGATTGAATAATGGATAATTCATTTTCTACTAGCACCTGAGTAGAAGGGAGAAGGTAAACCCTCCGTATTAGTGAAGATATAGCAGAGTTTTTGTAATGTGGTGGTTGGTAGGCGGCGGTTGGAATGATTTGTGGAGCATTCTTATTACAATGATGGACAGAAAATATAAGCACCAGAGATGTATGTATATCTAAGTCCAGGAAAGATATTCTATTGTTTTCTTGCTCTTCAACAGTAAAATTAATTGTAGGATAAATAGAGGCTAATATTTGAGTAAATTGAAGCAAGTCCTCATTGGAACTATCCCACGCAATTAGCACATCGTTGACGTACCGTAGATACATGAGAGGATATTGGATTGTTAAAGAGGCATTGAAAATCCGATGTTCTATATTTCTCATGACCAGTTCAGCTAGAATAAGAGATAATGGTGAGCCCATTGGTACCCCTTGTGTTTATTTATATATTTTTCCATTAAATTGGAAATAATTATTTTGAGTAATAAGGCGAAGAGCTTCACGTAGGTGTAAAACGTGTGATGCTGGGTAACTAAAATTGAGAAATAGGGTATTTGCCAGCATGATGGCCTCGAAATATGGAACAGAAGGATATAAAGAAATAACATCGATTTTGTAAAACTTTTGGTAGGAACTAGAGGGGAGGTTTCCTAATTTTTGTAAGATGGTACATTTGGCTTCAGTGGAGGATGTAGTTACAAGCTCAGAATGTTGGATTAAGGATGTGATATGTTTTGCCAGTGCAGCTTCAAGATGATACGTGGGATGGGAATGTTTGTTGACCAATGGTCTTAGTGGCCATGACAATTTAAGGGTTTTGGCCTCAAAAAATAATCTGGGGCATGCGACGTTCGATGGAGGATTGAGAAGACCAGCTAAAGATTCTACAACTCCTGGTAATGCAATAACTTTGTGCATTTTTCTTAACACAGTGGAAGTAGGATCTTGTTTTAGTACTATTGATCTGGAATGTTCGAGGAACTCGTTAGCTCTATTGAGGAAATCTTTGTTTCTGCATAGAACAAAACATTTATCTTTGTCGGCTACTAACAATTTTAAGTTATTCGATTCAAGAAAAGATTTTACTATTTTTGGAGTCCTCATATTTGCCCTTATGGTTTTAGGTGAATGCATCGGTGCTATAGCAGTCAACGTAGAAAGAATCGTTTGGAAAGCTTATATAAAATATACTTTATTTAAGCAAACACAACATTTAATTATTAAATAGTAGCCATATTATAGCATGATATAATCCAGCAGCTTGTTTGACCTTAATCAAAAATTGGGTTAACAGATATTCATATTTGTGTAGATTAGATATATCAATCTAGCAATTTTGAGTCTTTGTTCATCTTAAAAATGAATAAATAGAAAAATACATTTGTCCTTAGAATTCAACAATATAACACAACATAATCCAGAAGAAACTTTATTTAAAAAACTTATTCCTTTCCATAATTGCACTAGCATTAATAATCGACACATAACCATTAACTATGTGATTAACGTTTTTTCAGGAGATGAATGCATTTTATCTCCTAAAACATAAAAAGAACAAAGTTGCCAGTTATTCTAAATCAGTTTATAACATTTCATTTTTAGAATAACTGGTGGCTTTGTTCTTTTTAAGTTATAAATGCATATATCTCGTGAAGTAGGTCCCTCAAGACTTAAAACATTAATTATAAAATATTTACTACATAGTTGTGGTTATATACTTGTTGTCAAAGCTATTATGGACACACAGCAATATATTATAATAAACTTCATAAATATGTTTTAGTGTATAATTTCAAGTTAATCTGTGATTATTTTACAACCTCAAGTTTTTATTACGAAGTAAGTAAGAAAATAACACACCACAGGTACTCCTGTGGTGTGTTATTTTCCAAACATCTTGTGAGTGCATGTGTGCACATACAGTGCATCCCAGAAATGCAGATATTTAAAAAAAATAAAAACATAGATTAGCAATGCAAGTGGTTATTATTATTTATTTATAGCATAATACAATGTTATATAATTGTTTTTACAGTATTTGATAGTTACATAAAGTGTTAAACACAAAATAGTTGTTTTGTGATGTCCAAAAATATAGATAAATTTTAAACTTTAAACAATAATTTATAATATAAATTGATGGAAATTGTTTTAATTAATATGAAATAGAATTGCCATTATGTTTAATAACTTCAAAAATGCAATTAGGCATTGATTTAATTAAATTGTGTAAGATTCTGGATCTGTTTGAAACCAGCACTTAATGATTTGTTGTTTAAGCTCTGAAACTGTTGTAAAATGCCTGTTATTTGCTTAAATTTTTCAAGCAAGAATGCCCCCACGAGTTTTCAATCAGATTTATGTCCAGGCTTTTTGCTGGCCACTTAGTTGAACAATGAATACTGGCATTGTCATGTTGGAAAATCCAATCAGGTCCTCAGTTTCTTCTCCAATAGGTGTTAAATTATATTTTTAGGGTTTCTTCATAACTTTTAGATGTCTGTCTATCAGTTAAAATTACTAAATTTGATAAACCATTAAATCCAAAGCAGCCCACACCATAACAGAATGATCACCCTTTTTCCTGCTGAAAAACTGCACTTTTCTTTCCTAACTTAATGCTAATTAGGCTATCCAAATTAAATTTTTTTTCAGTGGTTTGTTTCATTACGGCAACAAATTTTATATATGGAACTGCTGAAGTTTTTTGATGAACAGTGCTTTTTGACATTTTTAATTCACTTTCAAACAAAATTTGACGAACTGATTTATCCTGTTGTGATGCAAGGCACACAATTCAATTATCATCCCCTTTGAGATGTGATTTTCGGTCTTCCTGATTGATGTTTAGAAGGTTTTGGTGGTGATTTTCCCAAAATTTTATAAAATTCCAGTAGATCTGTTTACTAAAACAGCAATTTCTAAATAAACATCAACTCACAGCCCGAGTAGATAATAACAACATCAAACGATCGCCTAATTATCGGGCTATAATATGGCTATTTTAAATGATTGGAACTAAATAATTTGACAATTAGAGGTAGGCGTTAGGCGCCATCTCTTAATTAAANGTGTAAATGAAAATGAATTTATTAGCAAAAGTTAGGTACAAACATGGTTACTTTTCAACATAATCACTGTGAAGATTGAGGCATTTGTCATATCTGTGGACAAGCTTTTCCATCCCCTTGCCATAGAATGTTGACACCAGTGAATTGAGATGGCCTTAACAATATTGTTTTTTTTATGGAGCTTGAAAAAAAAACAGCCTACATACAAACAAAAATAGAACATAAATTTATTTTCGTGAATTGAACAGATCATATCATCATAATCATAATGAAATTTTAATATTTTTATGTTAACAGACTTTTTCAACTAATATAACTAAAATATTATATCTTTAAGATAGTTTACTTCTTTTTATTAATAACCAGAAATTCTCTTGTCAAGCATGATGGAATATTTTTATGAGAAAGTAGAGATTGAAGAATTGAGAAGAGTAGAGATATAGCTTGTTAGATCATTACCCTAAGATTAATTCCTGGATTTGCCTTTGTGTTTAATATCATTTGCTAGAATATGAGCAGCTTTAACAGCTGGAATTTGTTTTCAATAATTGATCATATGTTGCAGCATTTCTACCTCAGAAGTGTTTCACAAAACCATGAGAAGTACAGTACATGAAGCATTCCAGAAAGCACAAAAAAAATCTGAACAGCTACCAGATATAATTTTAGATCAGAAATTCTTCAATTTAATAGAAGTTTATAGTTAACTGTTTCAAAATATTCCAGATCCAGGTCCATAATCGCTGCTATGATTAGTTTTTTTAATGAATATTATAATATTTTATACATTTCTGGAGTATTTGTTTAGAGATTTCATAATGTAATTTTTAAAAGAATTTGTATGTCAAAGGTAAACATATGTAAAGCATCAGCTGTACATATTCACTTATGTACAGCTGATGCTTTTTATATCTTAACATACAATTCATTACAGTGGTGACTCATATAACGTACTTAATCCGTTCCAGGTGCACGTCCGTTAAGTGAAAAGTCCGTTATACGAAACACATTTTCCCATAGAAATACATGTTAAAACATATAATTTGTTCCGCAGCATAAAATAACCATACTGTACCATTAAAAAAATGAAAATGGAGCAGTCACCAATTATGCCGGGTAGTCAGACGTTGTGAGGAGGAGGTGGAGGAATACTTTCTTCACACATTCATAAAGATACAGACTTATTACACATTGCAGCAGGTCTCTTTTTATTGTTTTTTTAATCTGAGTCAGATTCAGGAGAGGCTTCCGGAACTTGCAGGGTCAACTTCTCTTGTTCCATCCTTTGTTTTTTGCCTGCTGGCTTCTTGAAAAACATGTCCAAGGTGGTCTGTTTCTCTCTCTTGTTCAACACCTGTCNTAACAATTATGAATAGTAAAATGTTGATTATCTACACTTTTGGGACACACTGTATATATGTATTTAGATTAGAAATACATAAAAATTATTATATATTTATATTTTAAAGATTTATTCAACATAATTTAACTTTTTACCTTTTACTAATTCTTAGGTTGTGCTGTTGTTGAAAAATTACAAGGATTTAAAGTGGGCCAGTTTTTGTATTGTGGAAACAAACAGAAAGAAAGAGGTATAAATTTGTTTACTTATTACAGAAAAAATGATGATTTTGAATAAAACTAAAATATTTCAAAACTGATTAAGGAATTAACATATTAATGTTTGTTAACATTAAAATATTACATTTGTACTAAATGTACTGTACACTTGAACTCCTTAAATATGGTTTTAAAATATTATATAAAATAAAATTTAAGATTCTTTACTTACTTCAAAATATGTTTTTTGATTTCAGCTAATGAATTAGGAGCTAAATTTGTTACTTTTGATGAACTTTTGAAAAATTCTGATTTCATTGTAAGTTGTTGTGCTTTAAATGCTCAAACTAAAGAATTGTTTAATGAAAGAGCATTTAGTTTAATGAAACCCACTGCAATATTTATAAATACTAGCAGGTAAAGTTGAAATTAGTTTTTATTGCATTATATATAAGTTTTAGTGATGTGCCGGATCGTTAAAAACGTATATCCGCGGATACGGATACGGATCATTCGTGTCTAGATCCGCGGATACGGATACGGATCTCAACTTTCGTACTCAGTCGGCGCCGGTGCGTGTGACCTTGGACCGATAGTTGACGCTTTGCGTTAATAACGCGACGTGTTTTGACTTGCACTGCGCGTGTTTTTGTTTATGGTGTAAAAATGTGCTAAATTAGAATTCACCACAAAGGCAGACAGGATAAAGTAACAAAAGTTAATATAATTTTCCAATTGAGCTTTTTTGCGTCTTTATACAGATTCTATTTCGGGGGATTCCAACTTCACGGTACAAACAGTAGCATGCGAAATTACAGCGATAATAATAGTTCGCTGTATCCAAATCACGTGTACAATACAGATCCCGATCGCGACAATATAACCCGGAACCTTAAAACTAACCTTAAACACTAACTTAACACTAATAACAGAAAAAGGGATAGAATTAAGAAGACAGAAAAAATGATAGATAAGATAGAAATAGAGATATCTGGGGTTTTGTCCCTTTTTTCGGCTTGTTTCTTTATGCATACTGTTGGGTGGGATAACACACGCCCTTCTCTTATAACTGGCCAGTTCTCTTCTTCAATAATTAGGATTTTTTCTTCCACAGTCGTCAATACGACCTTAAAACACGATCTTTTTTCTGAACTATCCGGTCATTGAAAATACGACTCCCAGTATTCTCACCTCGTCCGTACACTCTGCTGTCCAGTTTACGAATGATCTGCTACGTCACTTCTTTTTTTTCTCCGGCTTCTGTTTACACCTTTGCTCCTCAAAGTTCTAGGAACTGCTTATCCCAGCCAAGGGACAGAGAATAGATAAGAAAGTTTTAGAAGAAAATAGAACAATAGAACAAAGGGTAGAAAGAAGAAACGAAACTAAACTAAAATTAATATTTACAAAAATATAGCGTACCGCCACAATAGTTTAGTGCAGTGTTTCCCAACCTTTTTTTGCTATGCCCCACCTAAGCCTTTCTAAAATTCTAGTCTCCCTAACATATACAGCGGCTATACTGTTAACTTAAACTCTGGACAAGTACAAGTCCATTTTCGAATTGCCCTCCTTAGCAATCCAATTGCTCCCTGTGGGGCGTGGGCCCCACGTTGGGAAACACTGGTTTGTGGCTAGTGTGACACGGGATAGCGTAGATTACGTTTGTGTTTTTGGAGAGTGTTGAGTTAAATTAAAATAAAAACAATGCCGACAAAAAAATTTAGTAGTGTAATATGGAAATATTTTACGATAGTAAATGACGAATGTGCTATTGCTACCTATCTTTAAAATTTCATATAAGTAATGAAATTCATTAAGATAAAAGATCCGTTAAAGATCCGCTAAAAAGTAACGGATACGGATACGGAT